TGTGTTTATTTCCTTTGCATGCACATTTGTCTGTTTATTTCAGTCAGGGTCTTGCTAAGTAGCCCAGGTTACACTGACTTCCCACCCTCTTGCCTGAGCCTCCTGAGTTCTGGGATTACAGGCCTGAGCCACAGGTGATTAGCTGGGGATGCTGTTTCTAAATATGCAAAGTTGTTTACAGAGTAAGCCCTTGAGCAAAATCAAGCTCTGAGCACCTCATCCCCCAGGTCTTCAAAGCTGGGCAGGAAGCTGTGACCATCTGTCTAGCATGTTCCCAGCCTGGGATGAGTCCCTCCACCCCCACTCCTCTATGCAGCCTCTCTTGGACCCAGAGTAGCCATGTCCATAGCCTCTCACTGTCCGCCAGAGCTCGGGGCAGAGGAGATGGTCCCAGTGTACAGCAAGAGAGGTGGGGATGGAGGGAGGCAGCGCCTGGTCACATGGACCCAAGCATGAACCCTCGTGGACCTGACCGCAGAGGCAGGCGTCTGCCTTGGGGTTTGGAGCTGGGAACAGGTTGTCCCTGAGGCCTTGGCTCACATGGACTGAGGCAAGTCTCCTGTCTCCAGGCTCTTCCCCGCTCCAGCTGGCTGCTGAGTCATGCTCCCCAGGGTTCGCCAGGCGCCCAAGTCCAGGCTGAGTCATGAGAGAATGAATTGCAGAATTCTTCTGTAGCCTGTCACGGCAGCACTGAGGCCTGGTTCCCTGGTCAGGCCTTGCACAGCATTCCCTCGGAGGCGGTCATAACTTCCCCCTTGATGGGGATCCTGGCTGGCAGTTCAAAGCAGCAGAGGGGAGCCTGGAGCCTTGAGTCTTCGAATTCTTTTCCTGTATCTTCCACATCTTCCGTTAGAAACCAGGCCTGGCCCATCACCCCAAGAAAGGCCTGTTTTCTTTCGTTCACCCTATCTTTCTGTTTTGTGCATGTGTGTTCCCGTGCACACGTGTGCATTCATGAAGACCAGAGAGCAACCTTATTGTCAATTCTCAGGCATTGTTTTAGCTTTCTGTTGCTATGATAAAATACTCTACCGAAGGCAACTTGGGGGAGGAGAGCATTGATTTAATTTACAGTTACAGTCCACCAAGCCAAGGCAGGAACCCAAGGCAAGAACCTGGAGGCAGGAACTGAAGCAGAGACCATAGGAGAGTGCTGCTTACTGGCTTGCTTCCCTGGCTTGCTCAGCTACCTTTCCTATCCAGCCCAGGCCCACCTACTCAGGGATGGCACCACTGGAGCCATGCTGCATCAATTAGCAATCAGGAAAATGCCTCACAGATATGGCCACAGGCCAAACTGATGGAGGAAATTCCTCAATTGAGGTTCCCCCTTCCCAAGTGAGGCTAGTTTGTGACAAACACCAGCACAGGCACCATCCACATTATATTTTTGAGACAGGGTCTCTCATTGTCGTAGGACTCACAAAGTAGGCTCAGCTCACTGACCAGCAAGCCCCAGGGATCCACTTCTCCAGGAATGGAGTGTGTGGTTAGAGGGCTACCTGAGGGAGTTAGTTCTCTCCTTCCACTCTGTGGGTCCCAGAGATTGAACTGAGGTCACCAGGCTTGGCAGCAAGCACCTTTACCCTCTGAGCCCTCTCACCAGCCCAGTGCCTGCCTTCCATTGAGGCTTAGCCCAGAGGAGGCACACTTCTACCAAGGGCCGCATGTCCTGCAGAAGACTCTGAATCAGGGGTCAAGGGGCTGGATCACAGACAGTACTTGTGCCATTGCTCTGGATCCTGTAGTGTCCCCAAGGGATCTGTGTGGTCATCCTGGGAGCGACCACTGGCAACTACAGCAGTCTGACCTTTTCTGCTCCCTAGGTTTGTGTGTTAAAGGTGCCGCATGCCCACAAACCTCTCACTATGGTTTGAATCTGAAATGTCTACCACAGTCTCACATTAAAAAAAATTATTTTTATTTTATATGCAAGTTTTGCCTGCATGTATATAATAGGTGCACCATGTGTGTGCAATGTCCGTGGAGGCCAGAAGACGGCATTGGATGCCTTGTAACCAGAGTTACAGATAGTTGTGAGCCACTGTGTGTATGTAGGTGCTGGGAACTGAACCCACGTCCTCTACAAGAGCAGCCAGTGCTCTTGGCCACAGAGCCATCTCTCCAGCCTGAGGCTCATGTTTTGAGATTTCCTTAGTCTTAATTATGTGTATGTATGTGGGTATGTACATGTGGCTGTAGGTGCTCGTGGAGGCCAGAAGAGTGTATCAGCTCCCCTGAGGCTACAGTTGTAGGTGGCTGTGAGCTGCCTGACATGGGTGCTGGGCTCTGAACTCAAGTCTTCAGACTTGGTGGCAAGCACCCTTACCCACTGTGTCATCCTGCCTCCCCTCCACTGTATTTTTTGAGACTGAGTCTCTCACTTCCTGGAGTTCATTGATTCAGCTAGGCTGGCTAGTCAGTGAGCTCCAGAGATCTGCCTGGTCTCTGCCTCCTCAGCTCTGGGATTATAGATGCATATCAGCATACTCTACTTTTTATGTGGGTACTGGGGGTCCAAACTCAGTGCTTCATGCTTGCTTGGCAAGAATATTACATACTGAGCCGTATCCCCAGCCAGCCCCTGCCTGGATTCACAGGTAGTTGTGAGCTGCTCTTGTAGGTTCTGGAATCCCAACTTGGGTCTTCTGCAAAAGCTGTATACACTCTTAACTGCTGAGCTATCCCTCAGCCCCTGCTTGGTTCTTTAAAAAAATTATTTGTTTTTATTTTATGTGTATGAGTGTTCGGCTTCCATATAAGTGTGCTATGTGTATATAATACCTGCAGAGGCCAGAAAAGGGCATCAACCCCCCTGGAACTGGAGTTATGGATGGTTGTTAGCCATGATGTGGATTCTGAGAATTGAACCTGGGTCCTCTGCAAGAGCACCCAGTGCTTTTAACTGTTGGGTCATCTCTCTCCAGCCCCCACCTTACTTTGTTTTGAGACCAGGTCTCACCATGTAGCTCAGGCTGGCCTCAGACTCACAAAACTCATAGCCACACAAACGTGATTAGTATAGAAATTGAACTTTATTGAGAAGCATAAGAGACAATATATGCAGTTGTTAAGAAAGGGTTCTCAGTATGGATGCCTATTCCCATGGCAATGTAAAGAAGTGGGCGGGGCTGATACTATGAAGGAATATTTCAACCTTGATTCCTGGTCCTCAATCCACTCTCCCCTGGCCACTAACATAACTAACTCCAACTTTCTCTGGAGACCCTTTGAGTTGTCTCCCCAAAGTTCCCCAGCCTCCTTCACCTGTTTGTCTTTTTTTTTTTTTTTTTTTTCAACAAACAAAAAAAATGGGGAAAAAAAGGGGGGGTTAGTTTTTTAAAAAAAAAAAAAAAAATCTTGTTCATGGCCATCGCGGCTTGTCTCTAATTTTTTTTTTGTTTTTTTTTTTTTTTTTTTTTTATTGGAGGGACTTGTTGGATCCAGGCAGGCTAGTCAGGTGCTTTCCTAGAGGGTGAAGGAGCCTTGGCCCTATTCGAGGTACAGTGATGTGTCAACTGGACTTGTTCTAACTAGCTGGTCCCTAAGATGCTCACCCAGCACCCAAGGTGAGGCTTTTCTGTCATTGCTGAGCCTTCTCTGCCCCACCAGTTCCAAGAGTCTTGAAGTTCCTGGAAAACCTACTTTTGCTCCTTCCCTAATGCATTAGTCAAACTAAGTCGACAAACCAATGGAAGGAGCCAATTCTGTTGTCCTCAACCAGGCCACTTACTTTCCCAAGCCTACTTTGGGACTTGGTGTGTTTCCTGAGAACAGCCTGCTGGGTGCTCTCTCCAGCAGCTCTGGCCCACCCAGTGCAAGGCTGTTTTCTCCCCAATTCACAAGTCTGCACCCCTTCTCTAGCTCCCATTTAATTTAGAAGACCACTTAAGGCCTCAGCTGCCATGCCAAGGAGAGGTCCCACACCTTGATTCTGGCACCTGTCAATCAAACCCTGCCCAATGCTTCTCATCAACGTCGCCAATTTCCTTCCAAACTCTATTTTTGTTTCTCTTAGATTTCTGTGTCTTTGGAGTTCTAGCCATAGAAAATTAGAAAATGGCATTACTTCCTAGGCACAATAGGTCTACAATGAAGGGACACTATCCCCAAATTATATTTTCTCCAAGCTATCCAAAGATTAATCCAATCAGGCCATTTTTAGATTTTTTGAAATGTCAAGAGTAATTGGTCCTCAGTGAAAACAGCTGATTCCCAGCTGGCTTTTAGAAATGGTTGAATCTTGGCCATGTGGCTGTCGGTTCCTTGCACTTTTGTGGTCTTGTGTGTCTGGGTATATGCTTGTTTATCTAACTTCTGTAAAGCAAAATAAATAGTCTCCTTTCGAGGAGAGGATGGTTTGCACAGAATGGTTTTATTCAGATGTTCTTGAATCTGGTGTTTTAATTTAAAAATTATTTCTATTTTATGTGTGTGAGTGTTCTGCCTGTATGTAGGTAAGTGTCCCATGGAGGCCAGAAGAGGGCATCAGTTCCCCTGGAACTGGAGTTATAGACAGCCAGCATGTGAGTGCTGGGAACTGTGCCTGGGTCCTCTGCAAAACCAGCCAGTGCTCTTAGCCACTGAGCCATCTCTCCAGACCTTTTTTTTTTTTTAACGATTTTATTTTTATTTTTAATTATGGGTATGTGTGTATCTCTGTGTGGATATGTGTACATGAATGCAGTGCCTGTGGTATCCAGAAGAGGGCATCACATTCCATGGAGCTGGAGTTACTGGCAGTTGTGAGCTGCCCACTTGGGTGCTTGGAACTGAACTTGGGTCCTCTGCAAGAGCAGCAGGTGCTCTTAACAGATGGGCCATCTCTCATGATCCTCGTACCTCAGCTTGCTGAATGCTGGGGTTGCAGGTATGTGCGATCACACCCGGCTCTTAAGCTTTTATGTCACAATACATGCAAACAACTTCCTCCATTCAAGGTTACACTGACGGAGGAGTAAGCGGTCAGTGCAAATCACTTGAACTTTTTTCTAACCAAACACCCTGGACTTGAGCTTTATGGTGTATAAGATGCTGCACTTTTTATCCCATCCTCGCCTCTACCTTGTGAGGTGGGCACAGCAGATGTTCCAATCTCCATGTTATTGAGGTACAAACTGAGGCTCAGAGAGGTTAAGGAACTATGGCAGAATCACACAGCTACCTAGTGGAAGAGCCATCAATCAAGAGTCTCTGCTACCTCATTCTCTTCCCCCATTTCAGAACAAAGAATATGATAGGGGTTTTCTATTGCCTCTCGTCCCCACGCAAACTGCATTCACCTTTCCCCAATCCATACATACAACTTAGACGGTTCCAATCATAAGAATAATTGATCAAGTTACACATGAGGTTGGGGTATTGTACACTAAGAATGTTTCCCTTAGAGATGAGTCCCAGGGGCTTCACTAGGGTTCCCAGGTTTGTGGTTAAGGTGCACGCTTTTACTTCCTAATTATGCTCAAGGCTACATTTCCCTTTCATCCTTCACATTCTTCCGGAGTTTGGTGCTTTCTAACCTTTTATGAGGAAACTTTAGTATTTCCCTCCATCTTCCAAGGTTCCTAGAAACTTTTGTGTCTCGAGCCTTTGTGGGATTTGCTTCACAACCAGGGGACCTCTCACTATCTTTCTGTTGATACTGGGGCTTGAACCCAGGACCTCATGTATACTAGGTAAGATCTCTACTACTGAGTCACACTCCTATCCTCTTGCTGGGGATTCTAGCCAAGAGTTGTACCACTGAGCCACACCTCCCAGCCCCTCACTGATAGAGTCTAAGCAGATGCTCCATCACCAAACCACTCTACCAAGCCACTTCCTAGCCCCTCACTGAGGAATTCTAGGCAGGTGCTCTACCACTGAGCCACACCTCCCAGCCCCTCACTGATAGAGTCTAAGCAGATGCTCCATCACCAAACCACTCTACCAAGCCACTTCCTAGCCCCTCACTGAGGAATTCTAGGCAGGTGCTCTACCACTGAGCCACACCCCCATCCCCTCACTGGGGAATTCTAGGCAGGCCCTTTACCACTGAGCTCCATCCTAAGCCATCTTTTTGCTTTTTGTTTGAAACATGGTCTTGTAAGTGACCTAGACAGGCCTTGAATTTGCTATCTTCCTACCTCAGCCTCCAAACTTGCTGGGATGACAGTTCTGTGCCACCAGGCCTGACTTCGTTTCTGAAGGTCTCTATTCCCTGTATTACCCACCTGGGTTGACCACTTGGTTGAAACCTTTCCACCAGCCAAGCCCTCTGCTCCAGTCTCATGAACATCTGCAAAATCCCTGTTACAAGTGGGAACAGGGTAGGAGCCCCTAGAGTTGTGTCTCTTCTCCTCCCTCTAGTAAGAGAAGGAAAACACTTTCTTCTCTAGGTTTGATGAAATCTCACCTTAGGAGGCACAACAGTGCCCCCTACTGGACACTTCCCAACACTAAGGCTTCTGCACAGTAAGGTTGGCTAAGGCTGTGGAATACTGAACTGGAACACAGTCTGCTCTCCTCTCTACACATTAATTCACTTCACAGATGTTTACTGAGCACTTACGATAGGCTCTCATGATTCTAGCTGTGCAGACTTGGAACTGCAACAAACACACTCTCTAGGGGTTCATACAACTCACCCAATACCAGTTAGTTCTGCAGACCCCATTACCTGCTCTGAATTGATGAAGGAGTGCCCACAAGACTTCTCCCTGAATTCTGGGAACATCATCACCATCCTATCACCCGTGGAGACCGACCACCTGACCTCAGACTCACAATCCTCCTGCCTCACCATGCTAGAATTACCAGTGTGTGTTACCATACCCCACCCAGTAGTTAGTTACTCTTAAGTATTATTTATAGAGGTATATTTTCTTGAAATAATCAAGCATATTAATACTGAGCAGAAATGTACAGATATGAGTAAGAGCCCCAAATAACTCAAAAATAACAACCTCCCCAAATCATTGATTATTTATAGATTAGGAATCTTACCTCTGCTTGGCTATACTTTGAGCTGGGCTTGGTGGCTCATACCTTTAATCCCAGCACTTGGGAAGCATAGGCAGGCAGATCTCTGTAAGTTTGAGGTCAGCCTGGTCTGCATAAAGAGTTCCAAGCTAGTCAGGGCTACATAGTAAAACCCTATCTCAAAAATAAACAAATATACAAAACACCAAATATACTTTAACTTGTCGCTGTCACCATATCAACATAATTCCCAAATCTCCTCCTCCTCCTCTTCCTCCTCCTTTCTCCTCCTCCTCCTCCTCCTCCTCTTCTTCTCTCTCTCTCTCTCTCTCTCTCTCTCTCTCTCTCTCTCTCTCTCTCTCTCCGGGGGGGGGGGGGGGGGGGGGACTCACCCTCATCTCTTTCACACCCCCCCCCTCCTCTCCCCCCCCCTCCTCCCCCCCCCCCCCCCCCCCCCTCCCCTTCTTCTCTCTCTCTCTCTCTCTCTCTCTCTCTCTCTCTCTCTCTCTCTCGGAGGGGTGTGGCCAGAGGAGGACATTGGGTGTCCTGCTCTATCACTCTCTACTTTATTCCCTTGCTGGAGCTGACAGCTAGCAAGCCTCAGCCATCCCCCCTTCTCCATCCCCCACAGCACTGGGCTTACAGGTGTATGTGGCTACACCTGGCTTTTTACATGGGGGCTAGGGATTTGAGCTCAGGTCCTCATGTTTGTGCAGCAAACCCTCTTGCCCACTGAGTCATCTCCCTAGCCCCAATCTTTTTTTCTTATGTTGCATCACATATTGTTTCTTCCAAATACTTCGCATAGTTGCCATTCACATAAGCAGTGGCTCATTCCCCTAACAGACCACAAGCTACTAAGCTGTCACCCCACCACAGAGCAGTTTCCAGTTAGTGACTGCAATACATAAGGCAGCCACCAAGGTCTCTATGCAAGCATTTTTCTTCTACTGAATTATTTTCCCAGAATTTATTCCTCAAAGTAGGATAACTTCTTCTTCTTCTTTTTTTTTAAATTTTTCAGTGCTAGGGCTGGAACGCAGGGCCTCATGAATGCCAGGTAAGTGCTTTCTACTGCTGAGTCACCAAGCTACGAAACAGCCCCTCACTGGGGGATTCTAGGCAGGGGCTCTACCACTGAACCACACCCCAGCCCCTCACTGGGGGATTCTAGGCAGGTGCTCTGCCACTGAGCTACACCCCAGCCCCTCACTGGGGGATTCTAGGCAGGTGCTCTACCACTGAGCCACACCCCCAGCCCCTCACTGGGGGATTCTAGGCAGATGCTATACGGCTGATACTAACATAGTCTTATAATCATTCTAAAAATGCTTCCCAAGTATTGCCAAACGACTCTCCAAGAGGCATTATTTTAGTGCCAAGAATTCACGTTTCTTCAGAACACATTTTAAAAATTTCAAGGCATGCCAGTGGTTTTAATTAATTCCTTTTCCTTTTCCTAGTCCTTGCCTGCATGTGTTTCCCCTGGGTGCATGAACTATTTTGTTCTTTGTCCAGATCTCTCTGTCAATGGGTAAATTGGTGATTCAGCTTTTTCTTCTCAAATCAAAATTCTATGTTGTTTTATCATCTTGTTGACTTTCTTCATTATTCTTTGCTATATATTCATTTATATAGTTATTTTATTTTGGGTCAAGGTCTCATGTAACACAGGCTAGTTTTGAACTTACAATGTAGCCAAGGATGACCTTGAACTTCTGATCTTCCCATCTCTACCTCCTGAGCAGTGGGATTATAGGTGAGCCCCATCACACCTGGTTATATGAGGCGCTAGGGATGGAACCCAGGGCTTCATGTGTGCTAGGCAAGTGCTCTACCTACTGAGCTATGGTGTCACCTGCTTTGTTTTGTTTTTGAGTGTCTCACTGTGTAGCTTAGGCTGGCCTCAAACTTACCACTCTCCTGCCTCTGTCTCCTGAGTACTTGGGCTATAGGCCTGCGACACCATACCCAGCATTTTAAATTCTTATACAATCAAAGTTGATCATCTAGACATTGGTGTCTCCTCATTCCTTCTATAAACAAGAAACGTGCATTCCAGAAAGATTTTCTTTTCTCTACCCCTGTCCTTGCCATCTGGACTTGTCCTTAAGCCTTGGCTCTCACGAATGCTTTGTCATCTGTGATCCCCAGATTAAGATTCTCTTTCACATTGCTTCTCCACAGCCTCTGGCTGAACATACTCCCCAAAGTCTCCTCTACCACTCTGTTCCACAGGAACTATCACAGATCAAAAGGAAGTGGTGGACAGTGGTGGCTACGGGCTATCTCTGACTCTATCTCTCCCTGGATTTTATGCCTCCCTCTGAGCCCCACTGCTGACTTCCCAAATTTTCTCTCAGGCTTGGCAAGCCAATGGCATACTGGCTCCTAGGGTTCCATGGTCTCCCTGGCAGCCCCTTCTGTCACTGTGGCTGCAGAAGGAACTCACTTTAATTCAATCAAATAAAGGCTAACATTTCTCAAAAAGGATTTTGCTAAAAAAGCTAAACTACAAATAAAATTCCAGGAAATATATAGAAAAGCATATGAGAAGTGGTTGGGCATGGTGGTCCACACTTCAGCACTTGGGAAGCAGAGGCAGGCAGAGCTCTATGAGTTGGAGGCCAGCCTGGTCTACATAGAGAGTTCTGGGCCAGCCAGGGCTACATAGTGAGACTGTCTCAAAGCAAAAACAAAAATAGAGAAAAAAGGAAAAGAAAAAAAATAAAGTATAAGAGAATTTCATGTCCTATTTAAACATCTCTTCAAATTGGCTTGGGAGTGGGAGGGTAGTGGAAGGTTCTCTTCTCTGATACTGAGAACCTGTTATCTGTTTATCTTTTTTTTTTTTGCTTCTAACATTATATATTATAAATATCTATGGTTCTTGTACACAAAATTCCACTGTTCATATCCAACGATCATCTGTGCATAACTGTTTATCTTTTTTTTTTTGCTTCTAACATTATATATTATAAATATCTATGGTTCTTGTACACAAAATTCCACTGTTCATATCCAACGATCATCTGTGCATTCCTGCTGAGCCCCAGCACTGCTTTAAAAGATGGTGATTTTCTTGTTTAAGAGCTGAGGATACATGGCTCAGTCTTTGTGGACCTTGAAAACCGGTGACTCTCCCCTCTAGTCTCTGCTTTCCACTTGGGCAGGTGGCCAGTTCCAGGGGCCCTGGGGGAATAGGCAGAGTTGTTACCTGTGTCTCTGCTTGGAGGGTGGGATGGGTGCAGGGGACAGGTCAGTTCATGACTCCCCAACTTTACCTTGATGAGGTGGCCAGTCAGGGTGACCTTGTCCAGCAGGCCAATTCTGTCCATGTCAGCCTTCCAAATCTTCTCCAGCTCTGTGTCGGGCAGCTTGGACTTCATCTCCTTAGAGCTGGGGCAGAGAGCCTGTACATAGTGCTGCTGAACACGCCACCCTTCACAGCCTGTGAGCGCATCAGCTCCTGGTCCATCATTATCATCCGCCCAGTGATGCAGTAGGCCAGCACGTTGCTCACCATGCCAGCAGCTTGTACTTAAAGGCCTGCATCTTCCCCAGGCTCAGGAAGTCTCTGTGAGAGTTCTGATGTTCCCTTGAGATCTCTCCCAGGTTGCTCACCAGCTCCTTCCCTTTGCTTTCTTTCCTGAAGAACTGGGCATCTTTCTTGAGGGAGCTGTTGGTGTGGATGTGGACCTTGCCAGCCTGGCCTACTTGATCAAGTCTCAGAGCTTCATGAGGGTGGCATTTTGAGGGCGGAGACCCGATGTCTTTGAAGAGGTACTGCTCTTCTGCCTCGAAGAGCTTCCGGTTGTCTGGGGAGTAGCGGGCAGCCAATGTCGACTAGGACCACCTCGGGGGGCATTAATGACCTTCCTTGGTCGCCACATTAGGGCCCCAAACATGCATATCAGCCTTGTTCAGCACCATGAGGATACTGGCCTCCTGGCTTCTGAGGGCTTGGTGGTATCTGAGAAGTTGGGGGAGACAGCCAGCTTGCAGGCATGAAAGAGCAGGCTATGTGATCCACGAGCTCCGAAAACCATTTGAAGATGGGTGCAAAGTCAAAACCTCTGTACATGCACTCCTTCTCTCTGGACAAAATCCCAGGCGGATTGGTGCTGTCTGGGATCGGGCTGGATGACTGGGCACACATGACTGTTCAGGCTGGCATTGCCCAAGGTGTTAAGCTTGCAGAAGGGGCACCACAAGTCCCTGAGGAGATGCTGCAGGGCATGACATCCTCGGTAGGTCTGTGCATGACCACTATGAAAGAGTCAGGGGTGGGCTCAGCTCAGTGCACATTCCCAGGATGTCCTACCTAATCTATCTGGTGGCAGGTAAAGATGGTCTTGCCTGTGCTGTCTCGGCTGACCAGGAGCACTGTGGATTTGTAGTCACAGTCAGTGTCCTCCAGCATGGGTGAGCAGAGTGTGTGGAAGCAGGGACCTTCCTTCCAAGGCCAGCAGCTTTTGCATGCACAGCCACTGCAGCCCCTTGGCTGCAGAGTTCTAGCTCCTTCTAGCAACGGGCACCCTTGTTGAACCAGTTGAACATGCTGTGGGAGACAGAGCTGGCTTTTGTGGGTGACTAAGAGTTGGGGGAGGGCATGTGGACTTTTCCTTTTTCTCCAGGCACGGTCTTCCTATGTAGCCAAGGCTAGGCTCAAACTTGTGATTCTCCTGCTTCAGCCTCTCTAGTGCCGGGATTACAGGTGCATGTCATACCAATGTCTGGCTTTAATCTCGTATCTGTGGCCCCTGCTTGTACCTGCACCCCCCACCCTACATGTCACTGAGGGAGCCTTGACGCCCTAGTGGTAGCTGGCAGAACCCTTCAATGACATTGCCATTCTGATTCCATGTGCCTCTGTAAGGATGGCCAGTTCTTGGCTCCTCTGCACCGTGCCCATCTCTTGACCTACCCTGGGCCTTCCTTTGCCTAGAATAGGACTTTGCCTATCTTCCCAGGATTCTCCCTCAGCTCTTCCATGAGTATTTAGGGGAAGGGGGCCAGGAAGGAAGGTAGAACTGGAGATTGACCTCAGAATTTCCTGCATGCTAAGCAAACCCTCTACCAACCCCAGCCCCTTCCCGGTGGATTCTCTGCAAGAGCGCTACAGAAGAATCAAGATCCCAACCAAGGAATGTTTTTGAAGAATACAAATCAGAACTCATTTACAAATCTCAAGACACCTAAACCTGACAGCAGCAGCTAGAGCCACAGGCACCACTCACAGGCACGACTCATGGAAAACAAGTGCCTCAGCTGACTTCTGACACACATACCATCCTTGGTCCCTATCCCTTCATATCATAAAAGGGATAAACACTGCCAACTTGGAAAAATGCAACCCCCCCAGCCACCTCATTTCACAGGTGGCTCTGCTTCTATTCTGCCTTCCCTCCCTTCCCACCTGCCTCCCACCCCCATCCCAGCTCTAAGCCTCTTTAACTGTCAGGAGATCTGACTCGAAAGACATGGATGGTCCCATTACTGAGAGACACCACCAGGTATCTGCCATCTACCATGGTGGTCACTCGGGGCTTTTCCAGGCCATGGTAAGCAGTTAGGAAGTCACCAAGAAGTGACCCCTTGGGGTCCAGGATAACCACCTTGTTAACCTCTCGAAGGGTCAGAAATATATAGCCTTTCTTATCCACAGACACAGAACCTGGCTGGCAGCCATGCAAACCCGGCCCCTTATATTCCCAGATCACCTGGCCAAGCCCATCACAGACAACCACACTATTTTGCTGCCAATCTGACCCCACAAAATTGCCCTGGAGGCTGGTGGTCAGGAACACCAGTGCCCGCTGGCCCCGGCTGGCCTTGCCTCCGGGGATAAACCTGGTGGCCAGGCTGCCATCCTTCTTGTATACCTCCACATGGCCTGCAACGCTGACTGCTACCCGGTCTCCACAGGGCATGGCTGCCACGGCGTGGCTGGACTGGGCAAGACTCAGAGAACGGCGCCACTGAACATCTCCCTCAGGATTGACAAGATAGAGCCTTGCATTGGCCGAGAAAGCCACCGCGCTCTGCAGGGCAGCCACACTGCATGGAGAACAGCCCTCGGGAACTGGCACGGTGCCCTTGTAGTCACCATTAAGGGAAAAGCGTTTCAACGCTCTGTTCTGTTCATCTGCCACCAGGATTTCCTGGGGGCCGAAGGGACAGAGCCCAGTGATGCGTGGGGAACGCTTGTCGCCAGGCATCCTTGTAGGAAAACTCCAGGAAAAAACAGGTTTAGGGAGGAGGCCAGAACCTTCTAGATTTGGCCTCAGGATGGGACTGGACTCCCGAGAAATGGACTTACACCTGCCTTTGAATTTTTTCTTCTTCAAACGGCCACCCCTTTCAATTTGGACTTCCTCATCTTCTTGGGGTGTCTGGGCTTTGTCTTCTTTGGGATTCGAGGCTCCAGCCTTACTTACGGGCTGGCCTCCACTCTGTTTTCCTGCTTTGGCTTCATCTTCTCCTTGGCTTGGGGTTTCATCCTCTCCTTGGGTACCAGTGCTACCCTTCTCACTGGCCTTTGGGGCTTGCTCTTTTTTCTCAAAGGAAAGTCGAAACAGATGGCAGTTTTTGTCCAGGAGCCCAGGATGGAGTTCCAGTTGGGGCAGCACGCAGTGGGCAGACCTGGGTGTCCAGGGAGAACCTTGAAGCTGGCGGAGCCTCTGTGTAATTGCTCCCTCAAGTGAGAGGATCTCTGCTTCCAGACCCAGGCTGAGCACCCTCCGGGCAAAAGCCGCTGCAGCCTTAGCCACCTGCTCCTGGCTCTCGATCTTGGCCAGCCTCTCCCTGGTGGCCTCCTCTGCGGCCTCCACATGGGCCCGGAGTTGCCCTAAGACTTCCTGCTTCTGGGCCAGAAGGGATTTGAGGATGCGTTCGGCTGCCTCTTCTACCTGTGTCCCCACACTGGCCGCCTGCTCCCGCAACTGAGCCAGGGCTTCCTTTTCGGCCACTCTAGTGGCCTCTAGTTCCACCAGATTGCTGTCCACACCTGCCAATAACTCTTCAAGGCCCGGCTTCCTGGCACGCACTGCCTCGGCCAGGGGCAGGCAGGGGTGATCCAGATGGGGCCCCAGACGGCAGTCCCGACACAACAGCTGGGAACAGGGTTGACACAGGAAGCAGAGGGCCTCCCCTGGGTGCTGGGGGCAGTGCGATGCTTGGCGTTCTCTGGCCTCTTCATCATACCACCCGGCCCTGTAGCCCACCAAGTCCACCACACGGTGGCTGTGGGTCTGGCGTGAACAGCGGTGCCCATCCGCACAGGCCTGGCACAAGTCATCTGCACAGTCCAGGCACCGGGCTGTGGCGGGTCCCCCAGAGCTCTTGCCACCCACCAGAGGACACAGGGCACAGGCTGGCTTCCCCGAGTGCAGGTCTCCAGGAGCTCTGGCCTTGACAAGATCCAAGAGCCCATTCACAAAGAAGTTGGTTTTGAAGGCGGCCACACCCTCAGATGGTACAGGGACAGTCTCCCGGCATTCAGGACAGCGGACCTGCCCGCAGATGGCCAGCTGAGCCAGACAGTCTTGACAATAGGTGTGTAGGCATGGCAGCGTCTTGGGCGTGTGGAGCTGCTCCAGGCAGATTTTACAGGCTAGGAAGTCACTACTGAGGGCCTCCAACAGAGATGGAGAGGAGCCCTTGGAGACCATGCTGTAAGGGGAAGGCAGGGTCAGCGGTCAGATGTGTCCCTCCCACATCCCCTCTCTTCATCTGGGCCACTTCCCCTACCCTCTCCACCTCCCAGCACTCACCTGAATGGTTAGGAACTTCCTTCTGACTTCCTGGCTTCTTGCTCTTGAACTAGGGAAGGGTGCCAGTCTTTCCTCCACTTCCTCCTCTTTCCTGACACTCACTGAATGTCACCATGGAAATGCTGCTGGTGTTGAGCCTGTGAAAGAAATAGGACCAGGAAGCTCCCAGGCCCAAGAGATGGACTAATCTAATTAACGTACCAGGTCACAGGGTTAAAGGCAGGTGCAGTCTAAGCCTAAACGGGCCTTGAGTAGCCCACACTGATCTCAAATTTGCTTTGTAGCCATCAGTGACCTTGAACTTCTGATCCTCCAGCTTCCACAGACCCAGTGCCTGGACTACAGGTTTGTGCTAGGACCCCCATTTTATGAAGTGCCAGGGATGGAACCCAGGGCTTCATGCATGATAGGCAAGCACTCTATCAACTGAGCCACACACTCTCCAGCACCCCCAGGTTTATTATTATTTATTATTGGTTTTAAAAAATATTTTATTATTTGTATTTTATGTATATGAATGTATTGTCTGAGTTTATGTAAGTGCACTCATGTCGTGCAATGCCCACTGTAACTGGAGTTACAGACAGTTGTTAGCTGCCATGTGAGTGCTGGGAACTGAACCTGGGTCCTCTGCAGGAGCAATCAGTGCTCCTAACCGCTGAGCCACCTCTCCAACCCCTGTTATTGGTTTTTATGAGGCAGCATTTCACTATATAGCCCCGGCTGGCCTCAAACTTGCTGTGTGAAGCAGGCTGGTTACGGATTCAGAAATCTCCCCGCACCGCCAGGGTCATCTTGTTAGGGTGGTTATTGGGGTTCAAGGGGCACCCAGTGAGGACACACTGAGGGTCAGGTGCCCAGCGCCACCTTGGTTTTTGATGTTAGGCAAGGTCCAGTTCCCTTTGTCCAATCTATCTGTCTTGCAGACCCTTGGGAAGGCGCCCTGGGAAGGTTGGGACTCTACTTCCTGCCCCAACTCTTCCCTAACGGAATTCTGGAGCCAGATGAAGACTCAAGGGAGGGAGCTCGCATCCTTCTTTCTGTTAGACCTCGGGGTCATGTAGCCTTGGCCTTAACTCTGCGGTCCTCTAATTTTAGCTTTTCCTGTCAAATGCATTCTAGAAACTTCTGAGGGATAGGAGTTTCAAGCCCCCAGCACAGTAGCTGAGAAATCCTTACTAAAGAGGATTTACACTGGAGGCCGAGGCAGGAGGATTGCCACAAATTTAAAGCCAGCCTGGGCTACATGGTGAGTTCCAGGACAGACTGGGCTACCTAGTGAGTTCTTCTAGCCCAGCCTGAGCTACAGAGTAAGACCCAGTCTTTTACAGATAGAGAGACAGAGACAGAGACAGAGAGACAGAGACCGTTTTCCCTTTCTCAGGTCTGGGAGGGGAAACTTTAAAGTGTGGGGGTCTCAGAGTCTTGGACCAACGGACACACAACGTAAGGCTGAGGCCCGGTCTGGTCCTCTTGGGCCTTCTAGGTCTCCTCTTCACCCTCTGCCCTCCCTTCCTCTTCCTCTCCCGGGCTTTCTTTCCTCCCTTTCCCTCTCTCCCCTCCCCCCAGCCTCGTTTTTTGTTTTGTTTTGTTTTTTTTTTTTGCTGGCCTTTACTCCTATCCGTCCTTACCCAGTCACAGCTGACCTTGAACCATGTCAGGAACACCAGGGGATTCCGAGGTCTGGCTCCTGCGGGTGGCTGACTACCTGCTGGAGAAACAAAACTGAAAGTAATTACACTTGTGGTGCAACTTCCGTCCCCTGCCCGGGACACCCGACTCGCACAGGCTCAGGCCCCGCCTTCCTCCTCACCCCAGCCTGAAGCGCTTCTCTGAGGCCTCCCTTCCTGCAGGAAGGACCAGGGGCCAGAGCTCCCGGCGGCCTCTGGCCCTCCAGCCTCAAGCTGTCAACTTGAGTGTGTGTTGCAAACAAGACACTCCCGGAGGGTCAGTTCTCTGATGGTGTGTGTATCTTGTGTCAGGATGTTTATTTGTGGGTGATTCAGCAAGTCGGTGGGGCTCAAACCACGGGAGAAGCAGTGTGCACTAGATAGATAAGGACTTTAAAACTCCCAGGGCTTAGCACTGGCTTCCTGGAGGAGGTGTTACCAGAGTTGTTTTTGAGGGGAGTCACAGGTTGGGGGTTTTAAGAATCAAAAGCAACAGGCTTTGTGGGGACAGAAGAACAAGATAGTTAACCCTCATCCAGGCATGGTGGCACACGAGTTTAATCCCTGCACTTGGGAGGCAGAGACAGGGGGATCTCTGTGAGTTTGAGGCCAGCCTGACCTGCATAGCTTCCATATAGTTCCAGGCCAGACAGTGCTACACAGTGAGATCCTGCCTCAAAAAAATATTTCACAATTTTTCTACTTTTCCCCCTCCCAATTTTCTACTTTATGATAGTATAAACACAATACATACCCAATAAAAAATTGTATTTTTCATTTTTTTTCCTTTTCATTTAGATAAGGTCTTGCTATATAGCCCGGTTAACTTTGAACATAAAACCCTTGGTGTTAAGGTTCAGAAAGCCCTGCCTTCTCACCAACAGGATCTCAAGGACTTCTCAAGCTCCTGAGAAAAGGGAACCTAGCTGATAAGCACCTTAGTCTTTGAAGTCAAGAGAAGCAGACTTTTCTCCACTGTTTGGCCAACACAGCAGGCTTCCCCTTTGATCTCTAAAGAGGACAGGTTTTAACAGCCCCCCTGTCCCACTTCCCCCCCACCCAACTTTAAAAATAATACATCTTCCCACTTTCTGCAGGAAGCAGAAGCCTCCCTTTTTAAAAGACCCTAGCTCATGACCTGGGCAGACATTTTCCCTGCCCAGAAGGGAATCTGCCCCATGTGTTCCTTTGCTAATAAACTGCTTTCTCCTGATCAACCCTATTCGTCATACAGCTACTTTTTACCTGTCACTTGGATTTGAGGCTCAGAAGAAAATACCTTAAGTAAAGACCTGGAGAATTAAACAAGATAGAAAGATGGGGAAAACTGAGGGGCTCAGAGGTAGGCTGGGGACGGCTCAGTAGAGAGTGTTTGCCTACCACGCAGGATGCCCTGGGTTCAATCCCCTGCACCACATAAACTACTGTGATGCATGCTTCTGATCCCAGCACTCAGGAGGTGGAGGCAGGAGGGTCAAGAGTTAAAGCTCATCCTCAGTGCACTACTGGCCAGTCTTAGCTCCAGGAGACCCTGTCTCAACAAAACAAAACAAAAATGGTGGGGAGCATGGGAGGGGAAAGGAATGCTTCACCGGAAGTCTGGCTGAAGCATTTTGACAGCACAGTTAACCTTTGCTGTGAAGGTCGTGGACACAGAGACAATATTCTTTGTAAACAGAGATATTTCAAATAACAAAGTTTTTGTTTTGTTTTGAGACAGTGTTTTACTGTGTAGCCTTGACTGACCTGGAACTCACTGCACAGACCAGGCTACCTAGACCAGGCTGATCTTGAACTCATAGAGATCTGCCTGCTTCTGCTAGGATTACAGGTGTGTACTACCACACCTGGCTGAAGTGATAATGTTAAAATAGGGACCAGTGAGATGGCCCAGTGTGTAAAAGTGCTTGCCACCAAGACTGAAGACCCGAGTTCAAACCCCAGGACCCACATGGTAGAAGGAGAAAAGTGACTCCCACAAGGTCCTCTGGAATTCATACCTAATCCATGGTGTGCACACCTCCCCCCATACACAGTAATGATAAATAATAAAATTAAGAAGATTGTTAAAATAGCAACAAACCATGCTTAGTCCTAAGAAATAGGACCAAGTACAGCTTCCTTTCTTATCTTTAAACCTGCAGTTTTCTAGCAATCCCTTGCATAGTAAAGACATCTTAACTTTTGCGCAACCCTGTGACCTGTGGTTTTACTTTATCAGATTGTAATCCTATCCAAGGCACCCAAGAGTCACCCCCCAAATCTCATTTATTGGTAAAGGGGAAGAAAGGAGATAAAGAGGATGGTGTCTCTTAGAAACACATTGAGTGGGTCGGCAATATGGCATAGTGGGTAAAGGAGATTGCTACCAAGTCTGCCGACCTGAGTTCGATCCCCAGAACCTACAGGGTGGAAGGAAAGAACTGACTCCTATAGACTTCCCTGAAAACACCTTGTCAGGCTGTTATGGGGGAAGCAGTGTCTGAAAGTAGACCTGTCATCTCCCCATTCTCCTGTTTCCTGCTCCACTAACACCCCCCCCCCAAAGGTAGGGCACAGAAAACAGAATTTTTCTTCTTTAAAACAGGGCTTGTAGAAACTAAAACCCCCTTTCTTTGCAGCAAGCTGTAAAAGCTGTGATCATTATCAGAGTCTTCTTCCTGTCTTAAGAGTTGGCGGAAAGGAAGCTCTGACCTACTTTCTGATAGTAGGCCTAAGATCTTCACTCCCAAAGTGTCATTTCACATGTGGGAGGAAGGGTGCTGCTCAGAGAGCCCCAGAGGGGTCTGAACTGCAGGCCTGACTGTGCTCCCCACACTGGCTTTTCCTTCGTTTCCTTTTTTTTAATCTCCCCTCTTCCTCTCCTCTCCCCTCCTCTCCTCTCCTCCCTTCCCTGCCCCTTCTTCTTTCTTTCTCTTTCTCTTTCCCTCCCCTCCCCTTCCCTCCTTTCCTGACAGTCTCTTTATGTAGCCCAGGCTGGCCCAGAACTTGCTATGTAACCCAGGCTGGCCTTGAACTTGAAATCACCCTGCCTCAGCGTTTCAAGTTTCTGCTATTACAATCATGCATCACCAGGCTGGAGAGATGGCTCAGCGGTTAAGAACACTGGTTGTTCTTGCAGAAGACCCGGGTTTGAATCCCAGCACCCACATGGCAGCTAACAACTGTCCGTAACTCCAGTTCCAGGGGATCTGATGTCCTCTTCTGTCCTCGCGGACACTGCACAACATGGGTGCGCTTAGCTACAGGCAGGCAATACACTCATACACATTAAAAAATAATAAAATATTAAAAAAACAAGGATGTATCACCATCCCTGGCTTAATCTGGGTTTAATTTGCACTTCTTTTATCTTCTCCAGATGGGAGTTTAGATTATTGATCTTAGATCTTTCTTTTTCAGAAATATATTTTATTTATTATTTTTATTTTATGTGTATGAGTGTATTGCTTTTATGTGTGTAAGTGCACCCTTGTCGTGCAATGCCCTTGGAGGTCAGAAGAGGGATCAGATCTCCTGGACTTGGAGTTACAGATGGTTGGTAGCTGCCATGTGGGAACTGAACCTGGGTCCTTTGCAAGAGTAGTCAGAGCTCTTAACCACTGCACCATCTCTCTAGCCCCATGCTTTATTTTAATTTTTGAGACTGGCTCTTATGGTGACCAGACTGGCCTCAAATGCACTAGATAATAAATGCTGGCCTTGAACTCCAGATAGTCCAATCTCTAGAGTACTGGGATTACAGATTACAGTACACATCCACATTTGACTTCATTTACAGGTTATTGATTTAGGAAACTCGGTGTGAAGTTATCAAACATAAAGTTGGGAAAAGACTTGTAATTGTCTCTTAGGTCATTACAACCCAGCTCAAAGCATCCTTTCCTGTAGCCTGTCCATCCTGACAGTAGTAATTTTCTTTTTCTTTTTTAAGTTTCTTTATTACAGTTATTTATTTTGTGTGTGTATGTGCACGTGACACAGCTTATGTGTGGAGGTCAGAGAACAACTTTTATGAGTCACTTCTCTCCTTCCACCATGTGGGTCCCAGGGATGAACTCAGGTCATCAGCCTTAGCAGCAAGCACCCTTACCTGCTGAATCATCTCATCAGCACTGTGTTTTTATTTTCATTAAAATCAAAATATATAGTTATATTTTTGTTTGTTTTATTGAGGCAAGGTCTGCCTGTAGCCCCAGCTGGCCTGAAACTCACTATGTAGACCAGATTGGCCTTGACATCACAGAAATTTGCCTGCCTCTGCCTCCCAAGTGCTGGGATTAAAGGAGTGTGTCACCATGCCTGGCTAAATTTTTAATTTTTTATCTATTTTATTTATTTTTATGTGTATGAGTGTTTTGCCTGTATGTTTGTAAGTGCACCCATGTCACGAAATGCCCTCAGAGGACAGAAGAAGGCATCAGATTCCCTGGAACTGGAGTTCTAGACAGTTGTTAGCTGCCATGTGGGTGTTGGGAACTGAACCCGGGTCCTCTGCAAGAGCAGCCAGTGCTCCTAACTGCTGAGTCATCTCTCCAGCCCCATACCCAGCTTTTTCTGTGGGTTTGCCATGCTTTCATGGCAAACACTTTACCAGCTGAGCTATTTCCCTAGCACCTATTATTATTTATTTATTTATTTATTTATTTATTTATTTTAAGATAGGATCTCATGCAGCCCAGGCTGGCCTCCAACTCACTATATGGCCATAGATGGCCTTGAACTCTGGATCCTCCTGATTCCACCTCCCAAGTACTGGGATCACAGGTGTGCATCACTCTGCCCAGTATTGTTTGGTGCTGGGCATGGAACCCAGGGCCTCATGCATGCTTGGCAAGCACTCTATCAGCTGAGCCGTACTCTCACACCTTATTTTAATGTGCCGCATTGTTTATTCATTCATTCATTCATTCATTCATTCATTCATTCATTTATTGTGTGTATATGTGTGTGCATGGGTGCCCACACATTCAGCACATGTGCAGAGGTCAGAAGACAACTTTTGGGAGTCAGTTCTCTCTACTATGTCAGATCTGCGGATCAGACTCAGGTCATCAGTCTTGGCTGCAGGCGCCTTTACCTACTGAGCCATCTCCTCAGTT